ATAGTAGACAAATATAATCCCCGAGAGACCCCAAGGGATTTTCCAAAAGCACCCAATAATGAATCAAGAAATGAAATACTTTCTAGCGTGTCTTCCAACATGATTCTTGTGAGTCACCCTCGGCCCCTGCAAAGAGTCTACTACTCTCCGGTTTATTCCGAGGTCTCGCCGACCGTGACCTTGGGTGAATCAGCTACTGCCTGTGCCGGTCACTTACCTTCATCTACTTCCCGGATATAGGTAGAATAGCCATAGGTATCAGCCCATGTGAGCCATGACCTGAAGAACTCCCTGGCATCTCTCATACCCGAGAAATCCTTCTGTGTCACCAGGAACTCCTTTGGGAACTCCTTCGCTAACACAAAGGAAATAAACATCAATATAGTCTCCATAATCTTTGTCGATATCTCGGAGATCCGCCGCGGCTGCGTAGACTCTGTGAAAGAAAGATAACATGGACTCCCCTACACGCCGGCGGGCTTTGAGAAACTTGCAGATTGCCGTGTGCAGGGCAGAGAGCCATGCATCAGTTTGAGAGTGTCAGCCAGGGAGGCCCAACTGTCAGTCCTGTTGTCCCTTCGCCATAGCCTCCAGGAACCCAGCGCTTCCCCCCGTAGCCTCTCCCGAGCCAGCTGGACTCTGCCGGAGTCATCCCAGAGACCAGTGATCTTCCAGAAGCGAGAGCCAGTCCTCCAAGCACGTGTGTCTTTGTCACCTGCATCCCTCCCCTCATAAAAAGGCAGATTTGACTTAGCCTCGTCTATTGGGTTCCTTCGTCTCTCACCCACCAGGGACTTTAGACAGTATCTTATAATCTGGTTCTCTCCCATCTTGGTACCCTCAGTGTGAGCCGGTGCTGACCTTAGCGAACTCTAAAAGCTTAATCGCAAAAACATTCACAGCAAGTACATGAATATGTTAAGCTAACAGTGGCATCAGAAAAAAACAGGATCCAAAATACCCTCCAATGTCTGTAACTTTACTGAAATCGAGCAGGACTCAAACTCCCTCTGAGCATATAGACTAATGCACTATAAATAAAGCCAATGCATCACCAAAAAGAACCAAAAAATGATAATAAATTATCCTTATATGCGGTATAGGAATATGCTACAGAAAAACGGCACTCCAGCAGGCGAGCGTGACGCGTATGTAGCGTCAACTATACGTCACAGTCCGAACCTTACGTTCCTCCCCTGCTACCCTACTACCCTGTTAGCTTAATTCCTCCTCCTTACCCAACAGTTACCTAACTGTCGAGTCGATCAACAGTCAACCTAAGCAGTCGAATCAACAGTCACCCACTAGCAGTCAACCTCTCCGACCCCCTTCGTCCGAGGTCTGCTGCGCAAGGGCGTCGACGCAGCGCTTACGCAGGTCACAGGTCAGGCGTCTGGCGCGCAAACAACCTTTCACTGCCACTCTACAGCTAGAATGGAATGCAGAGTGTTACCGACTGTACATATAGAGATATAGCCAAGAGCACCAAATGTCCAAAATTAGTATAAGAAATATAAATATAATACAGAATACTAAAATAAAATTATGAAACCCAGGTAAGTGATAGCTAAAACCACATTTACAAATGAAAGCAAAGCAAAATTATCCTATATCAAGCAAATAATATAATCTAAGCAATACATGATATATCATGGGATTAAAATAACCTTAATTAGACTATAATTCAGTGAGCCTGAAAATGCAAAACGCGAGAGAATATTATACATCTGCGAACATAAACTCAGTAGAATAAGTTCGTAGTCCCATCCATTCACGAGAGTACAATTATCAGACGTACTGAAAAGGAATTATACACAACGAATATGTGAATACTATGTTCTTCCACTGGACACGTAAACCTGGAGGAAAACATCAAAAGGATATAAAAACAAGTACTATAACACACGGAATAACCTTATGCAAAGTTTATCCCTGTGGAAAAAAATTGAGATTTATTACCGTACCAAATCGCCGGAAAAAGGCACCGAAACAACCAAAGCTACCGTTAATATCGGCCATTTATATTTTGATTTAATTTCAGAAATTAATTGTTAATCATAAAACTATATTAATGAAATTTACATAATATTTACTGAACTACTGAGCTATTTCTTTTTAAATATACTTCTTTTAAATATATCAGTATCAAGGAAGGAAGAGAGACCCTTTCAGTTTTACTATCTTTAAATCATCTAAATTGTCGACTTATTCATAAAACTTGTAAGATTTACAGTCCACTATCATTTGCAACACTAAACTGATTGGAGATCAAACTCTTCATTTAAATGGCCACTAATTATGTAACACTGGCATGGCTCCCTTACCACGAAACACAGCACTATGGATGTCAAGTTTCGTCGGTCCACGTCCTCTTCGGTCTGTCCTCCGAGGCGGTCTGCCACACGCCCCACGAGGCTGAGCTCCCTCGCGCCCACACAGCGCCCTCTTGCATTTCGGGTTTCCTTTCGAATCAGCTCCATGATTTTTTTTTTGTTTCCTTGACAGTCACGACTCGTATGTATATATGTATGTATATATATATTAATATAATAAATATATATGGTGTATATATAATATATTATATATATATATATATATATATATATATATATATATATATATATATATAATATATTATATATATATATATATATATATATATATATATATATATATATATATATATATATATATATATATATAGAGAGAGAGAGAGAGAGAGAGAGAGAGAGAGAGAGAGAGAGAGAGAGAGAGAGAGAGAGAGAGAGAGAGAAGAGAGAGAGAATCATAATTAAATGTAAATTTTCTAATTTATCCTTGCCATACAGTTTTGGTATGTGCGAAAAGAATGTTTTTTTTACATAGTTATATTGATGTTTTTGGAAAAAAGGAGTTGCCAAGTAAAGAATATTATTGTTCAAAAATATTTTCTTCAATAATGTTCTTTGATTTCTAATGAGCATAAAATAAATCAAAATTGCTTCTATTATATTATCTGTTTTCCTCTAGAAATTCATCATTATTATGATTCTCATAATCCATTACATATAACGTAAAGCATTCCATTTTGTTACTGTATACTTAAGGTTTTTGCATCAGCTCTGCATTTAGTAATTTTCTGCAATAATAGTTTACTCCCCTCTTACTTAAGGGAAGAATCTCAAATCCATTCAGTTAAGCTGTCTGGCTCACTCAAACGTTTGTGCTGCTTTTCACTTTCCAGTTGAACTCTCGACAAATTGAAATAAGTTCCTGAATAGAAAATAACAAAAGTGTCAAATTCAAAGACTAATTTTGCATCCATACATGACACTCTTATGCTTTTAGAGCTGAAGAAACCATACATGGCATAATCTGAGTTTTATAATATTACATATTTCTTTCTAAATCAGATAGATTTATTTCATATTTGTAAATTCAGTTCCCATCATTACATAAAATTCTTCCCACTATCAATATATTTTGTAATCTCTGCACTGATATGGATAATATATTCATATAAATCCACTTCATAATTTGTACTATGCAATAGGAATCTGGATTCTTCAATAAGGAGTTTAATAAATCTAGACTGACTTTCACATTCTATTTATTGATACGATCACAGGACTATAAACATACAAATCATTGTTTTATCATACAAAGGAGTAATGTAATATATTAAAAACTTATGGCGCACAATCATACATATTAGACAATAAAATGATGACTTTGTTAACTCCCCACTCAATATTACAAATTCACTCTCAACCACTGTCCTTCATTCTGAGTTCCCCTCCCAACTGTACAACAAAAGAAAGCAGAAAAAAAGCAAGAAAGGACAATTCATTCTTAGAAATATAACAAATCTGCTCTTTAATTGCAACCATTCGTTCTCAATTTGAATATAGTTATCCAGCCTATCAACTAGTTTCTGGTCCATAGTGACATCAACCCACACTCACACTTTATATGAAATCCAACATTTTTTTTCTAAGATTATTCTTGTAATCTGGATTCTATTACCCTTGTCACCAAACTTCCATCTATGTGAGTGAGGAGAGAAGTGTAACATACATACATGCATACATATACATATACATACACATTTATATATATTATATATATATATATATATATATATATATATATATATATATATATATATATATATGCCTGTAAGTATATGTATACATATATATACATATACATATAAATGTGTATGTTTATATACATATGTGTATGTGTCTTTGTATGTATGTGTATATGCATGCATACATGTATTTATATCAGTATGTATGAAAGTATAAATGTATATGTATGTATGTATGCATGTGAGAATATGCATATATATATATATATATATATATATATATATATATATATATATATATATATATATATATATATATATATATATATATAGGGATGGATGGAGATGCAAGAGGTCACTCTCTTAGAATATACAATGCACCATAATACATGGAAAGTTTTCAAGTGAACATGTACAGAAGATCTCCACACATGACAGCAAGTCTACATAACATTTCATCTGACATGACATGGCCTGATCCTGCTCTACATTAACGCAACACAGGAAATGTACTCGTGTACTGACCTATGTTTCCAATATACCATACAGGAGACATATGAATGACTTATTAACATAAATCCAATTAATAAGAATCATAAGCATACACATATTGAAGTACAAAATTGTACCAAAATCTGTACAAAGTTGTATACTTACATTGCAGAATGATACATACATTCATTACTATACAACTATTTTTACATTTTTCATTGGGTCAGCAGAATTATAATGGCATTCCAATCTTGTCTTTGATAGTTTTTGCTCGACTAATTTTAAGTATTGTAGGCAATGTACACTTGTCATTTTAACTTATTAGGAACAGTGTGAATATTGGTTATTAAGTTATAACTCCAAAATTAAGCAGTTTATAATTATTATGCCTGTATGAACTATATTATTAAATGCTGGTCAATTCTTACTTCCTTCCTAATATACACCAGTTTATAGGGAATTCAAAGAATTTACAGTAAAAATACTGGTCATCCTTGGCATTTCCTCTCAGCTTGAAATTATGTATGTTTTATGGGCTCTTTCCTTGGTACCAATGAACCACAAAAACAAATGGAATCACCAAAATTGCCTGCCTAAGAGCTTTGTGACAGTCTAAAACACTGCTGGACCACCGGCAAGCCTGTTTTAGCATAAAGCATTAGAAATTAAGTAGGAGAGAACTGACAGACTACAGTAGCTAGTAATATATGGCTTAATGCTTGCAAATGGTGATGCAGTATCATGAATGGCTGATGCCGTTATAATATGACAGATTTCAGAGAACAATACGAGACAAGCATTAAGGGTACAATTTGTACAAACTTCACAACAAGAAAAGTGTTTCTTTCAATAATAGTGCTAGATATTACTTTAGAAACTCCAAAAAAGCCCTGTAGTTCATCCTCAGTAAAGTAATCCATTTACAATTATAAGATTTATTTCTATTTTCACACCAAAGTTTAGGCAGTAACTCCCTTACCACCTTTGGCATTAGATTTTTGCACTTGTCTAATAATGTCTCATTACTTTATTACAAATATATTTCTCTCTGCACACATTTATTCTAATGCATCACCAAGAGTTTCATCTATGCAAATGCATGTGTTACACAATAGCACACACATATACATACACATTAGACACATGTTCTGCATACTTCCTGAATTCAAATTATTGTACATTTTTCAATTCCCAATCCACATCTTGGGAAAAAAATAAAAACTGCAACTGCAAAATATAAAGGTAAAGAGGGAGAAGATAGCACTCTTTCAAAATCATTGTAAAATTAGCAATGCCATCTGTGTGACAGCTGTGTTGATCAATTCATCATTGCAAAAAGCATCTCCATACTCAGGCCAGTTGTCAATGTTATGTTTTATTTTCTATTTTTATTTATGAAGACATACATTCCCTTTCATATATGTGACATCTCATTTTGAATGTTGCAAAGGTATCCATGAATCTGTACAAAGTTATACCTCTATAAATTTTAAAAATGACAGGAAAGGAAAACTTTTGATGTCAATCACTCTCTAATGACTAAAAGATCTCTCCACTTTGTCCAGCTTTGAACTGTATGCATAATTTCATGACAAAAACTGAATTAGTTGTTATGCACAACAAATACAGTCAGGAATGATCTTATTTGTCACATGATCAGTTAATTCCATAGCCCAGGATCCCTAAAACTGATGAAACTGCAAAAAATGACCACTCAAGAATATTATGGAGGACAAAATTCTGATTGATGTTAGGAAAAGTCTACATTTTCTTTATGGATTGATAATTCAGCATTTTTAAATACCATTCATTCTACAATGAGGAATCAGGGCAAAGCATTATTCTCATTTTTTTCTTGTTTGATAATCGTCAGTGTGCGCTTAATGCCCTCATTACTACATTCTGTCTGACTGAAAGAAAAAAGAACAAAAGAAAAAAGAAAAAAAATCATACATTGGTGTATATTTACAATCATGGGAAATAAATGGCCCCCAGGTAGGAATGACTCGTGGAAAAATATCAACCTACAAAGATGACACAGGATCACCCTAATTTAATTCTTTTTTTCTTTTTTTTTGGTTAAATCAATGTGAGTTATAATCACTGAAGGAAAAAAATAACAGATTATAAAATACACTAAACTTTGCTACATATGTATGAAAAGTGTGTGTCATATCTACAGTTAAAAGTAAAGTTCACAAACAATACCTTTGATGACACCACGAGAATGATCATCACAAATGATGCTTGTGTGGAATGAGGTTTCGTTGTTAAGCTTTGAGGAGATTGTTGATATTCTTTCAACTTCTTCTCTGATTCACAAACAGAAAAAGAATGAAATTATCAACTTTCATAATAAAAAAACAAAAACTTATCATAACATAGCATACGCATCCGATGATCACATGAAGCCTTGAACTTTCCTTGGAAAAAACATTCACTTCCAAAATTTTCTTCTATGCAATGCATGGAAATAATCATTATCTGAAACCTGTGATAACTACCAACAGGCCTTTTGATATTCCTCTTTGTAAGATTAGATATAAAAATCACTTATTTAGTGAGCAGTTTGATTGAAAACGAATACACAAAATATTTAAGCAAACATTTATAAACTGCTTTCCCATTCCAATATCTATAGATACATATATTAGAAAAATCTCAATATTGAACACATCACAAAATCACTAAAAACAAAAACAAAAACAAAAATGGTTCCTTCTATATTTCACACTATCCCAAGTAACACAAAAAATAACTTCTTTTTCATTATTCATCACAACAAGAATGCACATATTCATCTGTTAGCCAAATGGAATGTACGAACATTCACATATTGCCCTAAATCATCAAAATGTAGACATGATACTTTAGAACCTATCACAATTACATCATCTTCTAGTGCATGCTGGGCGGTCATTACTGCATAGACTCTAAAAACAGTTCTGATACAGGGAAGCACAAATTCTTGAAGACTTTGATTAAACTGGATGGCAGCTGATCAACTGTTTGCAAAGACTTTAATTTGAGCTTGATCCTTGTTAAGTGATCCGGCTTAGAAGAGCATGTCAGATGTACTCTCAGCACTCCATGTGACGGTTTCGGATTCGTCGGCTGGTCGTAAGTAGTCCTCTTCGACCCTTTCTGATGGAGCAGAAGGGACCGGAGGCGGAGCTTGGACGGGTGGTGGGGTTCGAGACACACCGAGTTCAAAGGTGCTACCAAGCTGGATTTTACTGGGGGTGTAACTCGCCAAGCCACCTGTAAGGAAGAGGGTGGGATGGTTACTACTGCTACAACTACACTAAACCTTAGCCAAGCAGTTAATTTAGCACAGGCAAATTCATAACAAATTAAGGGTAATGTGTACTTTGGGTATGGTATGTTGCTGGTCTATAAAACTTGAATACCTTCTATTTAATGAATTCAATTATTCTTTGAACTACATAATCCTTGTACCCTCTTCATGTACTGATTGGTCACTGAAAAGCAAAACTATTAGCTGTTACTGAGAAGCACAATTCACATTAAATCTAATACAAGGAAGCCATTGGAAGCTTGCATTGTAGAGGTAACATAACTTCCTGTCAAAATTATACAGTAAATGGACAGGGAATTCTAAGACACTCAACTGAAAGCTATAGGTCATAAAGCATCCTTCAGATTTCCATTTTTCTATTGCACTATACCTGTGTGTATTTTGACCTTTCCTTTGAAATAAAGCAAAGCCATAACAGTCCTGTAGAAATCTCTTTTTAATTATAACAATTGTCTGAATAATTACTTAAAAGTAGTACACTTAAAATAATATAGTAATAATTTTCCTGGAAAGAATATAAGATAATAAGCTTGAGGCATGGCTGCAAAATTGATGCATATAATGTCCTTGTGGGACCAAGCCAGAGACCTGTATGCTGTAAGCCAGTGTAAGCCTAGACTGAACTATATTATACCTACAATCGTATCGATGGTTGTCTAGTCACATGAACCTTGAGGTTTACAGTCTAGTGTACTCCTGACATGCATTATCACCTGGAGGGAAGGATACTACATTTATCATACAGAAGTACATGCATCAAAAATAAGGGAAAGGAAAGAAGAGAGAGACAGAAGAAAAGAAAATCTGACTCTCAAAGATTAACCACACATACAATCTTTGTATATGACTTTCTCTCTTGACCTCCTCTTTTAAAATCAGCTGGAGGTCCCTTCCAAGGCACCCTCAACGACTCATGATGACTAACAATACCAACACTTTTATGTTTAGCCGACAGATCAACTGGAGCATTATGAGCTCCGAGCACTATATCAGCTGGTGTATTGGGAGTCATTCTTCCCAGCCTATCTATGGCATCTTTTTCAACTGGGATTTTTACTTTACTCTTATGCTTTTGTCTTTGTGGTGGTTCAACTGGTGTTTGGGATTTCTTGGTGTTAAAGTCACTGTCTTTTGGAGATTTTGGGATGCCCTTTTTACGCAGGTCAGAAATCTTTTCTTCTGAGAGTGGGGGAAGGTTCTTGCCCACAGGAGTTACATTTTCTTGCCTTAGAGATTTTACATTTCTTCCTTGTTTTTCCTTTGGATATTCAATTTCTAAAGGTTTGGGTATATTGCTACTTGAGATAATATCCTTGGAATGCCTACTTGCTGAAATGTTTGCATCCTCATAATTCACTTCCAAGTTCCGATACTCTTGAACTTTCCCGTGACCAGTTATGGAAAACTTGCAATCACCAAATAATTCCTTCACACTTTTAGGCTCTTTAGTCCTACCTAGCCTTGGGACATTCCCACTTGAAACTGAAGTATTGCCAAACTTATTCATTAGCTCTTCATGCAGTGGGTGACCAACATTTTGCTGGGGTTTAAATGTTCTCTTTGCAGGTCCTCCTTTTGGTGCCACAGGGGGATTCTGGGATTTTGTTGTTTTAGTTTCTCTTATTTTCATGACCTCTGTGTGGTCTGAGGGATTTGCTGCCAAGGCTACTTTCTTCTTATCTTTTGTAATTACTTCTTTTTCCTTTGCATTCCTATTTTCAGAAGCATGTTTACTTGCTAAAACAAGTGCCTGTGGGGATTTTGATCTGTCAATTCTGAAAGGAGGTTTGTGTACTGCAACTTCCTTGACTGGAGATAATGTCCTGCCTTTTTGTGTCATAGAAACTATGTCAGGGACTGGTTGATACGCAGACACTTTTTCCTGAATAACATCCTGATTATCATAAACAGGCTTTAGATCCAATTTAAGTTCTGTTCGAGAACGAAGACGTTCTTGGCTTATAATGTCAGTATCTTTGACTTCTGTGTCCTTCTTCACCATTTTTACCTGGTCACCTATCAGTGTCCTTGGCAATGCTACTGGAGGACGAGATGGCTGTGGTGGTAGTTTATCAGTATCTGTTACATCTTCGTCTTTTTTAGCCTGAGCGACTGGAGGTGGAGGTCTTCTGGGTTTCTTGCCAAACTTTATTGATCCATGCTTACTGTTTCTTGGTCCTTTCACTATGTTCCTAGCAGCCCTTTCTACATCAGCATCATTATGATTCAGATTAGTACTAGTGCGGTGGTAAGGCTGAGGGTGGTAGGCAGATGAGAGAAAACCATGAGTGGTGAAGGAGTTGTTAGGAAGTGAAATACTGGGAGCTAGAGGGATATTCGGCTGAGAGAGAGGTACGGTGTGTGATCTTCCTGCAGGACCCACACATATGGTGATACAAGAAGTACCGCTGACCATGGGCATTTGCTTGACTCCTCGTGCTGCATTGGAGACCAGTTTAAGTTTATTTAATCATCAGAGAAAAACATGAATTACTTTTTTAAAAGTCTAAAACCTATTACAGATTATTAAAATACAAGAAAAATAGCATTAGAAATGATTAACACACATGCTTCTCAATAGTAACAATTTGTCTACACTACACTACTGTTCTCTCTGTTTATACTTATATTTATAAATAACTGCAACTCATAGAAGCATAGAATATGGAATATAGTTTGTAGATGTAAGATGACAGATCACTGACATGATGAAGAATGATTGTGATGACTGCATACATTCTTTGAATTTAATGATGGAAAAATATTTCACAACATCCAGCAACATGCAACCAACACGTATTCATCCCATTCCTCTTTCCCAGCGACTCACCAACAGGAATTTTGAAGATAATAAGCACCGGCTGTTTCTCTGCCGGGCTGACATCAGCAATGTTTCTAGCATGATCACTGGCCATGTTGTTATTTTGATGGGGTTATGGTGTCGTTACAGATTTGATCAAGTACCCTGTACACAACTTTCTGCCAGAGAGGAAATTCGATAATATTCCTAACGAACTAGTAAGTGACGCTAACCTGGATTATGATACAAGAACGTCTAAATATCTCCACAAATGAATAAAATAAAATAAAATAAATAATAAATAAAAAAAAACATGAACAATAATTCACCCAACTAAAAACACTTCCTAATAAAGAATGATAATCCCTCAGATCTGAACAAAACACACAAGTGCCTTCACCAAGATGTGCTAGCTCTTTCAACACCTTTGTTCCACTTGAATACCATTGGTCACAGCTTTGGGTGTTAGAACTTCATTCCGCTCTTGCAACGTTTAGAAATGTCACTATGGTTACGTAACTGCAGTAAGGACCGTAGGATGACAAAGAAAACTTGTATATCTTGATGGCATATAGTAGCCACACACAAATCTCAATGAAGACTGTATTGGTCGAATGAATAAAAAAAAGAATAACAATAAAAATAAACAGTTCCGGCAAGAGCAAAGAATAGAATAAACATAAGACACCCAAGTCACCCCGACAAACAACGTTCGCAAATCGTCCTTTCCTCCACCGTCACCTCCTGCAGAGCCTCCTCCAGACGTCGGCCTCTCGCGTGTCACGGTATGACAGGCGAGATCCTACATTCCGGGTCCCGGTAACAAGTAAAACTCATCGCCAAGGAGAGGATGACGCTCGGGTTTCCATCGTTCCGAGAAATCTTTAGGAGTTTACACGGATTTCTAGTTTCGGGTCACACGAAAAAGAAATGATGCAATGCTCTCTAAAACGACATTTGCGACATGACTATCTCCGATGGAAACAATTTCTGCGAAAGCTTACTGATCTACGCTTTAGAAAATTGGATTTGGCGTAGGGATAATAAACCCACATCCCCTAAATGACATCCCTTAAAAAATCGAAAAGACAAGGGGAAAATTCTCGAATTTGCCCAAGTACCAACCAAAAATCAATCAATTAACTACTGGACACCACGCGAGCTCAGGGGGGGGGGGGGGAGAGTACATATATGTTTTCGGGGTACCTGTCGCCAGTCCCACAGCCACGTCATACATGGGAGAAACACAAAAGGCAAAAAAGAGAAAAAAAAGAAAAAAAGAAAGAAGAAAGAAAGAAAGAGAGAAGAGAGAGAGAGAGAGAGAGAGAGAGAGAGAGAGAGAGAGAGAGAGAGAGAGGAGGAGAGAGAGAGAGAGAGAGAGAGAGAAGAGAGAAACGGACTGTATTCTTCCCCAAAATGAAAGCCCCACTCCCACCATAAAGTGCCCATCATCTTCACCAAACCAGCGAAATCCCATTGGTGAAAATAAAATCCGCCTCCGAGTCACCCATATTCCCGCAGTACAAAACGATAAAAAAAATGAAAATAAAAAGAGAACTCAAATCAACATCACGTCAGTCATCGTGTAAAAAAAAAAAAAAATGGCCTCAGTTTCTAAGGGTGTAATTAATACCGAACTTGCGCAGTGCGATGCGAATTTCACCGGCGCGTGTGTGTTGGTGTGAAGTGAGAAGCGACGGCCGTGATGTATAGTACGAGGGAAAGAGTGGCTGACTGATTTTATTTACCATTACAGTCTTTCTTTCGCGGGTCTTCCGTGACGGATTCCGCAGCGCCATCGGAGTGCGCTGCGCTGTTGCTTTCTCCCCGGTCTATCTGTCTATCGCCTTTATCTTAACCCCTTATAAATGCAGTGCATGTACAGAATGTATGTGTGTATGTATGTATGTATGTATGTATGTATGTATGTATGTATGTATGTATGTATGTATGTATATATATATATATATACATACACACACACACACACACACACACCACACACACACACACACATATATATATATATATATATATATATATATATATATAGTATATATCTGTGTGTGTGTGTATGCATATATGTTGTGTGTGTGTGTGTGTGTGTGTGTGTGTGTGTGTGTGTGTGTGTGTGTGTGTGTG